TATATATTTTTTTTTTTTTTGAAAGAAGTTTGATAATGTCTTGGGGCTTTTTTATATATACTCACTCAACTTCACGAGTTTAATAAATTAGGTCTTGAATTTTTTTTTCTTAGTAAATCACCCCTGAAAACTTTGAAATTTTTTACAATGTTAGTCAAATTAAAAATGAAATTAAAAATTTAGACGATATCTTCCATGTGAATGCTTATTAAGGATAATTATTGTCTTTTTGCATCGAATTGAACCCTTTATATATGTCATGAATGAAATTTTTTTTTGAAATTGAAGGACCCCCAATTTTTCTCCCAAAACGGTTCTCTCAATTTCAAAATTTTTTTTTTTTACTTGTGATGCGTATATGAGGATTAATTCGAGGTAAAAAGATATTAATTACCCTCATTAAACACTCATGTGGAAGATATCGTCTAAATTTTTTAATTCGTTTTATTTTTGACCAACATTGCAACAAATTTTAAAGCTTAAAGGATTAATTGCTAAGAAAAAAGTCAACTGACCAAATTATCAAACTCGTAAAGTTGAGAGGGTGTCCATAAAAAATAATCATGTTTTAAAGTTGTAGGGGAAAAAATGCCGATTTTTTAAATTCAAGGGGAAAACTTAAAAAGTAAATATAGGGAATTTGTTAAAGTCCGTTTGGTTCATGGATTAAAACTATGATATTAGAATCATTTTTAATTTTACGTATATTTTTATGAGAAAAAATACTGTAATAAACTATGAACCATGATTCGACTCAGAGAACAAATCCTCGGGTAATTTCATCTATTTACATTAATACGCCTTTATTAAATGGGCTAACAATCAATTTCGCTTGGCCCATACTCTTAAGGAGGGCCTTTAGCATGCCCAGAGCGTATTCATCATCCATTAAAACACAAGGCCCAGGTCACCAAGGCCTTCCTCTGTCCCTAATGAAAAGCGAAAGGTTCACAACAACAAAGGTCGCACGATTAATTATCAAAAAAAAAAAAAAGGTCGCACAATTGCGAGCGTGGCGTAAGCTGATTGGTAACCGTACTAATAGTAAAACTTACAGATCATAGAATATGCGAACCTAACCGTAGAGAACGTGACCCCTTTTCCTTTCTTCTCTTAGAAGAACTACTCTCTCTCTCTCTCTCTTCGTATTCCACAGACACCACCGGTGTTTATTAATTCCTAATAATTTTAGTTTTCTCCAATCATCTTCCTGTTCTATTTCGACTTTTTCTAGATTTTCTTTTTTCATTTATTTTTATTTTTATTTTTATAATATATATAGGCTACATATATTTCATTTATTTAAAAAAAAAAACACAATTTCTTCTTCTTCTCCTTCAAAGATACCTATCGCGTTGTGGTGGGTATTTGATTTATAATCCTTCTTTTGGGGATAGAGTTAGGGTTAGGGTTTTCGTTTTTCTTCGATCGATCTACTGGTTTTAGTGCAGAATTATGGGTGCCGAGGGCGATTCCAGCGAGCCTAAAGTCGGTGGTGAAGGCGAAGAACAAGTGCCGGTCAATGTCCGGTGCTCAAACGGTTCGAAATTTACGGTCCGGACGAGCCTCGAGTCCACGGTCGAGGCGTTCAAGGCGTTGCTGGCTCAGAATTGCGATGTGCCAGCTGATCAGCAGAGGTTGATCTACAAAGGTCGCATCTTGAAGGACGATCAAACCCTACTCAGTTACGGTAAGGGTTTTTTTCATTCTCGGAGAATCCGATATTTGGGTTGTTTGTCGGCTTGCTGTTGAATGTGGATTTTTTGTTATTCAATCTGATTTTGAGAGCTGACGATATGATTTGAATAGATTCTGTTCCGAATTTGTGATATTGGTCACCCTTTTTTTGTGTGATTGTGAGTGGTTTTTCGGTGTTGAAAATTATGGATTAATTTTTCTCTCTCATAAAAAAGAAATTGTGGATTAAGAATTGGGGCATATTTGGTTTTGACTTTTTCGCATGGCTTGGAGCTGCTTTGGTTGCTTAGGGTATCGTATTTTGTTGGAAAATTAACATCCACGGTAGATTTATTATTGGCATGGAAAGAACGAATCCGATTCATTTTAGCTTGTTGGGTTTACATATATATATATATATATATATTTTTTTTTTTTTTTGTTTTTCCCTTGTTTTTATGGAGTAATATAAAGAAATATTTTTGGCTCGCTACTTCGCTTTGATTTTTTACATGATCGCGCTTCTGTTTGGAGATCTCTTTATACCAGAAGATAAAACTCTCAGTTTTCTGGTTTAGGTTTGCTCGGAAGTTCTGTTTTTAGTCTCATGTCTATGATGGTGTATACCTTCTGTTAGAAACTCTGTTTTTGTGTAATTATGGTGTTTTTTGCTCTCTATTGACTGGTCCTCTTCTTTTTGTTTAAAGGTTTGGCGGCAGATCATACAGTTCACATGGTTCGTGGTTTTGCCCCGGCTGCATCGACACCTACTTCTGGAAGTACAGCTCCTACAGCTCCTAATACTAATTCTAATACTTCCCCAGGCGTTACACGAGGTGTTGGTTCAACTGAAGGTGCAGGGCTTGATAATCTTCTTGGGTCGTCTCTATTCCCTGGATTGGGTTTGAACCCACTTAGTGCTGGTAATGGTGGTGCAGCTGGTTTGTTTGGAGCTGGGCTTCCTGAATTTGAACAAGTGCAGCAACAACTGACCCAGAACCCGAACATGATGAGGGAAATAATGAACATGCCTGCCATTCAGAGCCTAATGAATAACCCTGACTTAATGCGAAGCCTGATTATGAGCAATCCGCAGATGCGTGAGATAATTGATAGGAATCCTGAGCTTGCACATATACTCAATGACCCCGGGATTCTCCGTCAGACATTGGAAGCTGCTAGGAACCCTGAGCTCATGCGTGAGATGATGAGAAACACTGACAGGGCAATGAGTAATATTGAATCTTCTCCTGAGGGATTTAATATGCTCAGGCGTATGTATGAGAATGTTCAGGAGCCGTTTCTTAATGCGACAACAATGACTGGGAACGCTGGGAATGATTTGGGCTCAAATCCATTTGCTGCTCTCTTGGGGAACCAAGGTGGGGCACAAGTTAGGGATGGGGCTAACAATCCTTCAGGCACGGGTGCTCAAACAACTACGGGTCAAGCTGCTCCAAATACAAACCCACTGCCTAATCCTTGGAGCAATACTACTGGTGGTAAGCTTCTGTCAGTTTATAGTCTCTTAGCAAAGTTGATCTATATTTTTTCAGCTACTTTAATATTGCCACATTCTAATGTCAATGTCATGGCTCATGTGATGTCATTGGACGGTAAATAAACACTGAACGTGGATTTTAAATTTTTATTTCGTTTTCTGTAAAAGCAAATACAGTTGCTAATCTGTGACGGGAAATTAGATGTTCAATTCAAGTTCTTACCTACTGTTTGTTTCTTAGCTGTATATAATCAGCTGTTAAGAGTATCTAATTTTGTGCTTATATTTGATTTGAAACCAATTTCTCTCCTTAAATTTTGATCTTAGATAATCCCTCTTTTCTGGTCGCTTCTGAATACTTCTTCAAGTTGTATATATCTAAAATTTATGTTTTGCAACTGTCAGGAGGGACCCAGACAAACACTGCTAGACCAAATCGTAGTGGCGATGCTAGGCCACCTAGCGTTGCTGGTCTGGGCGGGCTTGGTCTCCCCAATATGGACCAGATGCTCTCTGCAATGCCCGACGTTTCTCAAATGAATCAGCTTTTACAAAATCCAGCTATATCGCAGATGATGCAAAGCTTGCTATCTAATCCCCAATATATGAATCAGGTATTATTATTGAACAGCTCAGATATATATACGTATACTTTTATTAGCTTTTTTTTTCTTATGTTCAGATTTAAATACTAATTTCTGAGTCGTAGATTCTAAGTCTCAATCCGCAACTGCGCGGCATGGTTGATTTGAATCCTCAACTTAGAGAAATGATGCAAAATCCAGAACTTCTTCGTCAGTTGACAAATCCAGAGACATTGCAGGTACGTCACTCTTTCAGTCTGAAGAACTGCATCCATGAAATGGGTCTGTTTGTTTACCTGTCTAAACTTGTGCATACATGTATGTATCCTTGTGAGTTGTGACTGTATTTGCATGCATGTATGTATCATACGTGTTGGCTGATGCCTCTTATTGTGGAAATCCAGTTTTATTATCAGAAGATTTTGTTTAGTGAGGAAGTTGAGTGTGTTTCAATGTTAATTACTCTGCTTGACTTCTCTTGTTTCCTCTTACATCAAATGCTTACTTTACAGCAGTCACTTCTACCTCAGCTCAATAGACAACAATCAACCCAGTAAGTCAGACGTATCTACTCTTTAATACAGAAATATGAACGTGTGTGATACCTTTCTTTGGCTACCCTTAAGACTTGCTGAAGTTCCTAAAATTTTTTGGGTTGTCGGACACACTTCATAGTTTGACTACCGTTCTAAGTTTCCAACAACACAATGGTTATCGCAACCAGTTCTCTATAAACGTTTCCTTGTATTATTACTTTGGATGGCTTTCATTAATAAATGTATTTATTCATTATTTATTACATTACTCATCATTACTGTGACCTCTTGCAGGGATTCAGCCCAGACTGGTGCCAATACAGGTATGTAGGACGTACAAAAGGATGATTTTATTGTTAGTGTGTCTGTAGTTCAATTTTTTCTAACATCATTGAATCAAATAGGTACACCTAATAATACTGGGCTGGAGTTGCTGATGAACATGTTTGGTGGTCTTGGAGCTGGCAGCTTTGCAGTACCAAACAACCCAGATGGTTAGGATTTCCTTGTTTTTCACATGTTTTTTAAGCTTTCGCTTTTCTTAGTTGGAGTCTTACTTTTGCCCCTTAAAAATTGTCTTCCCTGTAGTTCCGCCGGAAGAACTTTACGCAACTCAGCTGTCACAGCTTCAGGAAATGGGTTTCTTCGACACCCAAGAGAATATCAGGGCATTGCGTGCGACTTCGGGGAATGTCCACGCTGCTGTGGAACGGCTTTTAGGAAATCATGGGCAATAAACCCTGCTTGGTGGTTCTCTCTCTCTCTTTCTTTTCATGTCCACGCTGCTGTGGAACGGCTTTTAGGAAATCATGGGCAATAAACCCTGCTTTTTCTCTCCCCCCCTTTTTTTTTTTTTTTTTTTTTTTTTTTTTTTTTTTCCTTTTCCTTTCTTGGAATTGATAATTTCTTGTGGACATGTAAAATTAGACGATTTGGACTTAGGGGTCTTGCAATGATGATGCGAGAGAAATACGAGCAGCTGTAGATTTTCATTTTGGGCGTGTGAATAAGCAAGTACACACCATGTCATAGAGCTGTGAACTTGTCTATATATGCATATGCCTTACAGGACTCTTTGGCGCCTCCCCCTTTCTCTCTCTTCTTATTTCTCCCTCGTAGCATATGTACATTTATTACATCTTTAAGTATTTGCATTTCGTGAAATGCTCGGCTTATTATATTTTGAGGAATATATAAAACAGCACTTTTACTCGTATAATCTTTTCTTTTCCCTCCTTTGTTTGATATTTATTGTGGCTCTCGCTAGCATATATATCTGCATTATTTGGGTTTGAATTCCCAGGCCATACCTGCGGAATTGTAAGTCACACGAGCCATTCTATTTTGAGAAATGCTAGTATTACTTGACAGATAAAAAATAGAAATGCTAGTATTACTTGACAGATATTTTTTCTATCACTCTCTCTTTGTAATTTTTTTATATTTATGGTTTTAACACGTTATTTAAGCAGTTTATAAGATAATAAAATTCACTTATTAAATAGTAAACGTAGAAAGTGATAAAAAGAGAGTATTTCTTTTTTGTGTCTGTGGAATAGGAAGAGAAAGCAATGTGTTAGTGAGAACTCAAGGATGTGCAATTTGTCTTGGAACCCAAAGTATAAGAACAGCGAACAGTATTCAAAAGAAGGCGTTACCACTCGCTTTAGGGAAGATACATATGTATATGGATAGAGTCGTGTAAATATATACAGGAAGATATTCTATTTGACACGATATTCTTATTTGTTTTAGAGTGATTTGGGAAAATAACCCATGTTTAAGGAGTAATAAAAATGATTGAATCTTTTAGGCTGAAAGAATGGTCGTTTTTAGAGAATCTCGTATTTAATGTCTAAAATAATTGATTCTATTCACATATTATTGATAAAATTTGTCTGTTCTCTTCATTATCAGTAACCAAAAAAAAAAAAAAAAACTATTTTACTACATAATGTCTATTTTTTTTTTTTCTGGTAAGAGAGATAATTCTTTCATTTTATTTATATTTCAAGCAATAAGAAATCGCGAAAGTTGCAATTATTAGCGATCTCTATTCATGATTCTATTTTTTTTTCCTTATTCTCCAAACTCCACCACAAGTCTTGCAACTGTTATATATACATATATATATATATATATATATATAAGGTTAATCACATAATTATACCTTTCAATTTTAGTTATTTCTAAATTGTCCCTCTATTTCTAAAAACTACAAAGTTCTATTTGAATTTGAAAAACTTGTTTAATTTCATCCTCGCAAGCTTTGTTTAAAAAAAAGAAGAAAAGACAAAGATACCTTTTATTAGACCAAATTTATTTTTTTTTTCCAAAATAAAAAATTTCAAAAATATTTTAACATTTAAAATATAAAATTCAATATCTTTGTTCTGAAATTTAGTGTTTTATATTAGGGTTTTTTATGTTTTCAAAATCTATAAAATATTTTTCATAAACTAACTCGTTTTTCCCAACCCTTTCTATTCATAAAATGCACAGGGAGGAAATCAAAATAAGTTTTTCAAATTCAAAACATATCTTCATAGTTTCTTAAAACAAGAGGAATAAATCGAAAAATTTCATAAGTAGAAGATATAATTAACCAAAAAAAGGCTACGCCAACTTTTCGAATATTAGAAGTTTTGTGGCAAAGAGTGCATGTTTCAGATTCTTTAGGATAAATTGTTATATATTGTCAAATATAGGGACCCATTTGGAACGTTTTTCACGTGCAACCAAGGGACTAAAATGATAAAAAAGGGGATAATAGCATATATGCCCATTTTTATTTTTTTTTTAAATAGCCGAAGTTTTATAAATTAATAAAATGATCGTCTATTTTATTAATTTAATGGTCAATGATAAATTAATTTAGTAATTAATTATTAATTAATTAATTTATTACTAATTGATTAGTGGTCTATCACTTATTAATTTAAATTTATTATTAACTCGATAATTTTTTATTATTAATAATTAATTGAGATCAATTACCATCAATAAATTATGTTTATGTTCATGTTAATAAATCATTGATAATTATAATAATGATGGATATATTATAATAATGAATAAGTGATTGGTTAATTACTTAAAAAACGACTATTTTACTAAAAAAAAAAAAAAAAAACTCGGCTATTTATTAAAAAATATGGTCAAACAAGTATTTACCTGATTAAAAAAAAAAAAAAAGAACTAATAATCCTGTGCCTTAAAGAGGAGTCGGAGCCAAAGCTTGTTGCTTTTGAATCCGAACCCTCCCCCTTCCGCCGGAAACGGCTCCAATGAGCTAAAGGTAAAATTCTCGTCCCCTTCTTCGTCTTCTTCTTCTTCTTCTTCTTCGTCTTCTTCTTCTTCTTCAATTCAATCCAACTTTCTCTCTCTATGTTATCTCTCTCTAAGTCACAGCTTTATTCTCTTATTCTCTCTTCTTTGCACGATTTGCATTCATAGTTTTAGGCGTGCGCCGAAAGAAAACGATCAAATCTTTTAATTTCTCAGCCCTTGGTTTAAGCGCATTTTTCTTAGAAAAACCCTAGAGCTCCGATAGATCCCCTTGCGTTTTCGTGAGCAGATTTCAAGCCACCTGCAAGCCAACGCCAAGCTTCTACATGGTTGGTTTAATTTTTTGTAATGTTTGTTTCAAGAATCTGGCTTGAATCTTGAATGTTAGCTGGGATTTTGTGGGGGAAAAAAACCGAGTCTTTGAGGGGATATGAACGTTTCTGTTATAATCGTATGTTTCTTTTTGATTCTATGATGGGTTTTCATGGATTTTACAAATCTTGAAATGGGTTGCTTTGGAATGGAAATCTTAGCTCATTGGTTAATAATGGTAACGGTGGAGTTTCCCCATTTGGGTTGTGTGGTTGTTATGATTTGCAAATGGGTTGCCTTGTGAAGATGAGATTGAGACATTGAGGAGTGGGAATGGAGATAATAAACAGGTCCATTTGGGAAGGAAAGAAAAACAGTAGAGTGGCTAGGTTAAGGAAATTTTCGTTAAATTTATGCCCGAGGTAGCGGTTGTTGACTAAAAGAATGAAAAGAGCTTTGATTGTGTTTGTCACTTTTGTTTGAAGTGAAACTTGGGTTTATAGATTATTGAAATTTTGTGCTTGAAAGTTTTATCTGAAGTTTAATTTATGAAATAGAAATTAGTTTATGGAGTTCATTTTATTCTGGAAGTTTTTGATAATTGATTGATGTTTTCTGAATTTGTTTGATTGTTGAACATTGCTATTGTGATTTTTGGTTGATATTGGTGAAAGTTTCTATTTTGATTAGTTCGTGTTTAGCTAATTGTGATTTTTTGTCGATTATTTTACTATTTTTTGGAAGATTGATATTTGTTTGGTTAGATTGTTCTTTGTTGTAAATTGGGTTTTCTGATTAGTTGGATATTGTCTGAAGTTCATGTTTGTGAGATTTCTTTGAGATTTGTGAAATTAGTTTGATATTTAGCGGACATTGGTATGATTATGGTGTTGTAAAATGTTAGATTTTTATGATTTGTTTGATATCAGAATTGCAAGCAATATGGTCACAACATTCAAACTATGTAACTTTCGTCTATGAAGGCTTTATCTTCATAATATGACTTATTTTGGACTATGCCATTTTTGTCTTCATATTATGACTTGTTTTAGACTATATAATTGTAAAATTCATGTTGTGACTAACTTTGCACTATTTAATGCTTCTAGAGTAGGTATACTTTGGCTTAGAATCTAACAAGTGTTAAATGCTGCTTTTGAGCCCAAGAATATGAAAGCTTGCTTCTAAAACTCATATCAAACACAGTAGGCCCTTTTCCCCCCTTTTTGTGGCACATTTTTCTTGTAATATTATTGAATTTGAAATGGTTTTCCTGAAAACATCCAAAGTTCTTGTTCCTCTAATTGATTTTTCACGATATTCTTGTTTTTATGTCCCCTTTTTCCCTTTTCCAACCGTAAAGGGTGATGATGTTTTCTGTTTTGCATTTCTGTTTACTGTTGACGTGCAATCTATTTCTCATTTGATCCTTTTCTCTTTCAAAATTTTCTTTATAGCTATCTAAGTCTACAAGATAAAAAAGAAAATCTGTTTGCTGCGCTGAGCCATGGTGCAAGTGACCCAACCCCCGCACAGTCATATCTTGAAATTTGTCTGGTTATATCTTGTGTTTAGAAATACCATTAACATGGAGAGTTAATAGGTAAAAGGACAGAGTTTTACTGTCAGATCCATCTTTGTTTGCCAAAACTGTTGAATGATAATTCTTTTCAGTTCACCACTGTTATAACAAACGTAGCGTATGCGTCGAGGGGGCTCGCATAAATTCATATTTTTTCTCGATTTTAGATTCTTCACACTGTGTCTATTTGTTGATTTGATCTCTAATCTTGTGACTGTTTTTAATGAATATCTTTTATTTTTGCATCAGAAAGTAAGTTACTTCAAATGGTTCAGCAAACCATAGATTCTAAATTCAGTGAATATGGGATGGGCAATTCTGAAACTGACTTGCCTACTGGTGATAAGCAATTACCAGTTGCTATAAAGAAGACAGTGTTGAGGGATCTGCAAAACAATAATATAATTACAGTTCCCAATTCTAATGGAAACTCTCCTTTACTAAAGGATAGAGGACCTATCACCGATACCACTAAACTTTCTGGCACAAAGAGAGCCTCACCTGAGTGCCCAGAGAGCCCTTCTCAACACTATTCTCCTAACAATAATTCCCCGAATGGGCATCTTGTCTATGTCCGCAGAAAGTCGGAGGCGGAATTAGGCAAGAGCAGCACTTGTGATAGCGCAAACATCAATACTAATTCTTCAACTATAAGGCAACTTGGTCAGCAGCAGGAGACCACACAACCTACATCTCAAATTAAGGAGCCAAAAGTATCTTGTTTTCCAGCAATCGCCCCTTTTACGGTGTCTTCTTCCATGATCCCATCTGGAAAACCCTCTGTTCCTCCTCCTCCCGGAAAGTCTGGTATGAGGTTAGCGTCAGCAGAATCTGATCAGCTTCCTGTTGCTTCTGGTACCCCAGCAGAACCCACCCATCAACCCCGTGTTTCCGCAGCCCCAACATTGGATAATCTAAAAGCATTAAGAAATCTGCACTGGGAAGATCGTTATTACCGGCTACAGTTACTATTGAAGAAACTGGACCAATCACAGCAAGAGGAATATGTTAAGAGTATGCATTTTAATCTGGAAAACTTTCTCAAAGATGCTTTCTTGTTTCACTGTTTACTTTCTAATAGCATCACTTGATTCTTTGATTTGTGTGATTCTTTTAGTGCTTCGGTCACTCTCCTCAGTTGAGCTAAGTAGACATGCGGTTGAGTTGGAAAAGAGGTCAATTCAGCTCTCACTAGAGGAAGGTATATATCCAAATTTTGGAATTTTCATGCTTTATTTTTCCACTTTAAAAGCTTAACAGAACCTAAATTATAGTCTCGTTGTGTTCACGAAAAAAGTGATTAATTATTGTGCAACTGAAAACAAGGAAAGTTCACAAGCATATTGATTCAAGTTTATCATCCCTTTATTTCCTTTTCCTTTTTGTGCTTTTATGCTTATACGAGCATGATGTTACCTTATGTACTTCCCTTGTGAGCAGCTAGTAATTTTTGGTTAGCTGTCGTTTAACTGGCAGCCATCTATATTTTTAACTTTATTCTTTACTCTTGCCTTGTTGAATGCCCTCTTCAATTGCTGAGGACAGTGAGTAGATGTAAAAGGCTCGATTTTATTATCAAGTTGACTTAGACTTCCTTCTGGAAGAGTCAGCTTTTGGATCAGTTACGTAATTTCTCAGCAGTAACTAGAATCTCATGTTCCAAAACATGTAATAGAATCACGACTTGTAGCACTTACAATGCCATAGTTCTATGGCGGTGATAGATTTTGTTTTCTGCTGTGACACGCTTTCATTTTTATGTAACTGCAGCAAAAGAGTTGCAGCGGGTTGGGGTTCTGAATGTTCTAGGAAAACCATTGAAGCCGACAATCTTACCCTCAACTTATCAAGACCGGCAGGAGAAGTAAGATGGTCTCCGCTCCACCGTCCCAGCCTTCAGGAGGAGGGGGTTTTAGGGTTTTCAGTGCTGAAGCCTGATAAACTTATGCCAACTTGTTTTTTTTTTTTTTTTTCATGGTCTTATCTGCAAGTCCTGCTGTTTCCCTGTTTTGACTACACTATTCATCTTCTCGGTATGCAATGATTTTCAGCCGTCAGGGTGGAAGCTGGTGACGATTATTACCTGCACTTGGAGCAGCGTTTTTCACAGCAATGCAATGCCTCATTTGCAGTATGCTTGTTAGTCTTTAGCTTTCATCTGATGGTTATTTTCATCAATGGCCATAAGAATATTCACTTATCTCACTCCGGCCCTCCAACATTTATTATTAGCTGATATACCTACCCCAACGTTTATGAAGTGTAGTTTTGATCTCTCTATTTTTAGATGAAATCTAACACGAGGATTGCACGTCAGGTTTTAAAAAGGGATAACAAGGTGAAAAAAAAGAAGTATAGTTTTGAAACGAAGTTCTATTTCTTTTTTCTTTTGGAACTTTTCAAAACTACATTTTCTCCTCTTTCTTCCTTTCTTTCTTTTTTTAGCCATTTTATCTGTTTTAAAATGCTCCTGAACAATCCTTATGTTAGATTTCGTTTGGAAATAGAAAGTTTATTAATAGAAGGATCAAAACTATATATTTTATAAATGTCGGGTAGGTAGAGCTTTAACAATAAATATTGGAGGATTAGAGTAAATGAATATTCTCATGGGCCATTGGTGAAAATAACGCATCTATAGTCAATCGAAGATATTATGATTGGAAGACTTGTTGTACTAATGTCCTATGTCAAAACATAATAACTAATTATTTGTGTATAGTTATCTTTTGCTTATGAACTCTTTAATATAAGAGGTCATAACCCGGGTTATTAATATAATATATACTTTTTGTTTTGAAACATAAATATATATATATATATATACACACACTTTGCATCTTGGACCATTTTATTTTATTTATTTTTCTTGTTTGGAATTTTTTTTTTGAGGAATTTGTTTTAGAATTGACTATTGTGCTTTTATATTTTCAGATTGTCAATTTATGTTCAATGCCTCAATCTATACCGTTTCCTGATCAATTGTTCATTTTGACAAATGAAATCCTAAAATACCTTTAATAAAAAATAATCAATTCTATTTGTTTATTTAGAGAGAAGTAATACGACATCAATCAAAACGGATATTCTGAGTATTTCAGATCCAGAAACAACATAGATTGAGCATAAATTGAGAAATTCCTTTTGTTTTGTTTTAGTCTTTTTTTTTTTTTTTTTGAAAATTGAAGAAATTGTTTTAGAACGTGATGCACATCGTCCTTACTTTTATACAGTAACAGTTACTAGGTTGACATTAGTTAACGTCGACGAGACACATTCTTTCCCCATTCAGTTTCTAATGTCTGTCTTTTGTCCCGAGAATCAGTTTCTAATGTTGTTCAGTTAACTCAAAGAGCAAAAGCAATTTTATCCCAAACATTTCAACACGTGAAGTTGGAGAGCTTGTGCATTAAACCACGTCTCCAAAAACATATCCACTCCGACAATGTAGCGCCGCAAAAGAGATAGGTGCTCTAACACTGTAGTAGTTTTACTCTTCTACCCCCAATAAAGCACAAAATTAACATTTAATACACTCACAGAGCGAAAGCAATGGAGACCACTAATGTAATTCCAAAACGAACACGTAACAACCCATCACGGCAGTATCCAACCGAAAAAAAACCGTCTCTCCCTCAGTTCACAATTCCCAAGAAAAAAAAGTAACCGCCTCTTCCCTCTTCAAAAGCCACTCCTCCACCAATTCTCAATCTTTTTGAAACCTTATTATTTTCTTCTCCAACATTTCGAGATGAACAACGTTTTCGATTTCCAACACAATCTCCCACTAATCCCCGCTCCACCGTCGACCCACCATGACTGCGCGTCAACCTCCGCCGCCGCTAAACACCACCCAAAACCCCGCAAGAAGCGCTCCTCCAACTCCAAGCCGCCGCCGCCTCCGCCGCTCCAAAGCGGCGTCGTTTCGGCGGAATCAGTGAGGGCGTGCAGCGAGTGTGGGAAGAAATTCTGGTCGTGGAAGGCGCTTTTCGGCCACATGCGGTGCCACCCGGAGCGCCACTGGCGCGGCATAAACCCGCCTCCCAGCCACCGCAGACCTGCTAATTCTGATCCGGTCATCGCTTCCCAGCACGACATCCTCGAGGACTACGAGATCGCCGCCTGCTTGCTCCTCCTCGCTAACAACGGAAACGACAATCATAATGATATTATTCACAATTACGATCATCATCATCATCATCATCATGTAGAGGGCAACAAAAACGACAACAACAACAACAACAATAGTACTACTGTGTCTCATGTGTCGTGTGCGTTTTTCGAGTGTTCGAGTTGCAAGAAGGTGTTTAGGTCCCACCAGGCGCTGGGGGGCCACAGGGCCAGCCACAAGAACGTCAAGGGCTGTTTCGCCATGACCAGAACATCAAGTAACAGTACTAGTACTGGTGATATTCATGACAATAATTTTGGGCTGGACTTTGACTTGAATTTGCCTGCGGGTATGGAATCTCATGATAATGCTTATTGTTTAGTTTCGTCTTCTTATTCCTCTTCTCCGGGCCTTGCTAATTTGGATCTAAGGTTGGCTCTTTGATAGATAAGTAATGCTCATGTACTTTTGGACTCTTGATTTCTTAGTTGGGTCCTTTTGCTAAGTCCTTAAATTATACTGTACTTGTCATAGCGGTAGCGTTCGTATGTGTAATATTGATATTTGACTTGATCAAAAAATGCGTCATTGTATGAAATACTATTATGTTATAATTGGAAGACAGGTATATTTATACATTTATATATAGTACTGTTTGATAGACGACTTGAGTTTGTGTTATACATTCTCTTTAAATTTGTAATACTTATACGGAATCTTGTCTGATAATTGGGATTGCTAACTAGTACTATATGTTCCCTGTTCATGAATATTGTGAATTTGTTTGTTTATCATTACAGAGTGATGACAATATGAATCGTGATAAACGTTTATGGTTATGTAATATTTCCTTTGATTTTTCTGTTTATATCAGCTCATATCTTATACCAGTTTTTTAGTTTAGTTTTTTTGCTTTCTTTTACCAACTCGCCAAGAATATTTGTAGTTTTACAATCACTTCATGAGTTTCTTTCTTTATTTCTCCTCTATTTTTATTTATTTTATTTTTTTTTGAAAGAATAGCTGATGAAGTTAAGTTTCCGTAACTCATAAGTTAACATTAATTCTCTTGACTTTAAACAAACGAGTTTAGTAGAAAATGAGGTCTCGATGACTAAATTGCTAGAATACGCAAACACAGGGAAAACATGAATTCAGGATACCACTAATAAGTCACTAGTTTATTATGGATGTTCATTAATTCCCATTTGATAGTACTAGAAATCCAAAACGACTTCTGTAATTGAAAGGTTCCAATGTTTTGACAGTTTTGACATTGTCACATACACACACACATTGGTCTCTTCATATCTGTATCTACATATATATAGATATATATTGGTTTTTCAATGATCAGGGCTCAAATTTTGGGTTCCACTAATTCGATTGGTCTAACTAGTAAGGCCTTAGATATTGTTTCATACGCGGCTATTTGGTCTGTGTCATGCAATTCATAGTGCCGTACAAGTACTTCCTTATATATTCTTATAAATTGGTTTTGAAAATTCATTGTTTGACACATATCATACGCGCCGCGTGCTATTGGGATTAGAGAGAAATACTGGTTTCTGATTAGCCCATCCATCAATTTCTTTACTTAAAAAAGCGTGTTTAGAATCAGATTCATGGTTCTAAATGATTTTTTTTTAATTAGCTAGATAATTGCCGACAACTAATTAACTAGCTAGTTATGCATGTTGGAGAAAAGTTTTATTTATAATTATAAGAGATTAATTTATTATGATTGATATTGTGTTTTGAAGAAAGCTGTCTTGATCGGTGTACGTATACAGTAAAACTTACATAATTATTGTTATTTTCTTCTTTGCCTCCACAGTGAGAGCAATATTTCTGCTGTTTTGCTCTCTTAATAAACAGTTGGAATGGTTGGTACATAATGATCATTTTCTTAATTTCTTATTATATTTCATCTTCTTTAGTGTTAACAATTAATAAACAAGTGTCACCCGCATGTCTGAATAGTTCCATGGAAAAGTAAATGTCGGAACAATAATATGTCTATAAACTATTCCTAATTGCAAGCATGGACCACATTACTTTATTGTTCTGAGACAACTAAACAGTAGAAGATTATGTAAGACACCAAATAGAACATGATCATCATAGAAAGATTCAGAAAATAATTGGGACGTTTGTTTTCTGTATTCGTCCCTGATCTGATTCATAGTTTTTTACAATGTTTTCTCTCAAAAAAACACACGCAAAATAAAAATAATTCTGACTCATAATTCTGAATCCATGAACCAAACGTCCACTCGAATCAATTTATCTTTCTTCAATAAATCAGTTCCTAGATTGTAATTTATTATATATATATATATATATGTAACTCCGGCCGGCTGCTTTATATATATGTACACTTATTCAGGGATTCGTGAAGACTGGTTTTTAGCAGTAGTATCAAAAACTTCCCTAATTTTGGTTTTCCAAGATTAAGGTTTCCTACTTTAACCTAGAATATTGACACGATTAATAGAAATAAACATTATATAACATTTGTCAAATTAAGGTTTTCTAATTATACTAATGATTTTTTTCCCCGACCAAACACAATTTGACCTAATTATTTTAGACATTCTACGTTAATATTATTTCTAGTCATTTTATTTGCTCTATAAAAGTAGATATTTAAGCTAACTAGCCATAGGCGTCTTTCTAATATGATTTATGAGGTATAAATCATCTTGTACTCTTTCTCTGATATGGTGAAAATATGCGGTGACAAAATAGACGGATCAGGAATTAGGGTGTAATCCTAATACCCATATCATGAAAACAATACACTTATATATATATATATATATATATGTATGTATACATACCAACATAACATATGCATTCAACAAGACTGTTCATGCATTAGTATGTCCCTATAACCTTCTTTCAATACTATATTTAATTTCTTAGAAATACACGCTAAAGCTCTGATTTTTTAGCATTCATATAGCTTAATATATGTTCCACTATAAAACAGCTCGACAACTTTTTCAAAATAAATCCGGTCTACTTCAGATTAGTAATCTTTACATCAAAATTAAATATTAATCAGATCAATATGGAGGAATTTATTATAATAATGTCTCTCTTACATAATAGTATATCTCATATCTGCATAATAGAGGATTCTAGTTGGTGATTCAAGTAGTTTAGAAAAGATTCTCCGTTTTTGTGAGAAAAGAACCATTACGCATATGTTATTAATGGGAGAATGCATCATTTGACTAATACTATATACAAATATATATATATATATATATGTATATATAAAAATTAAGTCTTACTTCCTCGTATAAAATTGTTGAACCATCGTACTCTATGAGTCAGATAGAATAGTGATTTCCCATATCTACCACTATTATTTTTAAATGAGTTGCACTTTATTGCCTCCCTTAAATAAACATCGGTCCCAACACTTACAAAAATCCTTGCTAGTGCATCATTTTTATAGTAGTAAAACCCTGAACTTTCTTAGAAAGTAATTGAGCACCTTAAGACTTTCTAAATATTGTGATCCAGCGACAATAACATATTTTTATCAAAATCATTGCCGCTTTGGAAACCAATTTGTTTATTGATAATTTTTCGTAATTAAAAAATATATATGTGACTGTGAGTACACTCAAGAAGAGCACTGAATACATACTTAGGTTTAGGTTAATTAGTTGATTCTCGGGCCACTACACTATAATTAATTTTGTGAATAAATGAATAAATAAACCAGCTAATCAGGCAACAAATTAACCCAACCATAATCCAATGAGAGGATTTCTTAGCTGAAGGCTTGATTAGACTCCACTAATTTAAAGAACATATGTATAATATATAAATATATATATATATATATATATTATACACACACATATATAATTTATCATGTACATGGAAAACGATCGACTTCATGATCATCAACATATATCAAAACGCCTGAGTGCCCATATATGGAAGATCGTTTTGTTGGTTAACTTTCCAAGTATAGTCCCTGACTTTTGGGTCACCAGGTGTCCTTTCCAGGAAAATGCTTCTAATTAACATTCAATGTTAACTGTTAACCTTTAGATTTGTAACTGTTAGATAGAGTAAAAGCTCATAAAAAGTAGCCGAATATATATGTGTATGTATATATATATATATATGGTCATGATGATTTTTTCATGGAGGATCTAGTCACTTTTACAATATCTGTGAGAATCACTTCTAAAGATTATTGCTTAGTTTTGCAACTTTTTTTTTTTTTTTTTTGGTTAGAAACTTTTGCTGCAAATTGGTATTAGTATTGTTGGTACTAAAATTAATCTGTTCCAACAACTATTATACCTGTGGCTTGCTTCCTAGTTCTTCCCCAGAACTCGGATGCTAGTATTTGAAGTACCTACTAGAAAAACTCTTCAATGCTCAAGTCAGCTCAGAATTCTCTAAAGAAGAGTGTCAAGAGAGCTGTGGATTATAAATGTATACTTATTTAATTTCCTGTTGTTTGTAACTAATAAAAATAAAACATATAGAAAGCGGGTTCACTTAAGGGAACCTCGGCATCTATTTCGAGAACCCAAACTTCCCAAAGACACTAAAATGTACTTAAATAAATAAATTCAAAGATAACAACTCGAAACTGGTATGAACAAGTTGATATTAGAGTTGATATCTTTAGTACTACTCGTCAACTTATAATTTAAAATTTATTTTATGCATAATTTCTCCTACTTTTAATCCATGTTAATACAAACGATTGTTAAGGTTTAATTTTACTCCTTACATGCACTATATTATATGTATCGGTAATTGCATAAGTTATAGCCTAAAACCAACACTTTATAGCTCACTTGAGGTTTTTCAAGTTGTAGGCTTGTAGCACATTATACTATATACCGCAAGCTTTGATGACAAAATTTTTCTTTCTTTCTTTTTTAGTCCACTAAGTTTTCATGCATGCCCATGAAAATATTATCTTCCTAATTATACTAAGAATACCATATCCTTAAGGATCTACTGAAAAATGATAGCCAAATAAAAAGCTCTTGTATACTCAAGTCAAAGATCATTCTTATTATCTATATAAAACTCTTTTTGAGGCAATAATATTCAACTCTATATCTTTGTTGCCTCAATTTCACCTGCAGCCATGTGATCCTGAGGAAATATATAATTAATCAAGTGTCGAAGATTTTTTCCCCATCAATTATTTGACATGGGGTCGAAGTCATATTCATTATGATGTGCAGTCGTTATTCCCTTTCACTTCTATAACTAATTTTTCAGTCTTTGAAAAATAAAATAAAATAAAAACGACGTCAAAAAATAATGAAATTTTGTAGAAATGATCCTTACATTTTTCTGGGCATGCTTGCAAAAAATGACAAAAAAGGTAAAACGCTGTTAAAAAGCCCTTGGCCCGCGTAGTGGGGCGTCCAGGGACCGGGATTGGTAAAAAATTTACATTTTTATTTATG